TATATATTTTATAAAATTATTAAAAAAAAATAAACAATTTGGTGAAAAAACAATATGTTAATGCTCGAATCTTTAAAATGAAAATACGGATAGAGTTACATGTAATTTCTTCTTGAACATTTTAGAATGTTCTTTCTTTATTTTGTAGAAATTGTGGGGAAAGGGTTTGAGATGCTCTTTAGTTGTCTCCACGATCTTTGGAAATGTTGTTGTACGGACATGTTGTGCTACTAGATACAATGATATGTTGGGTTGCTTCTAATTTGGTCGTATTTTAGTTCAGCTTCTTTGTTTTAGCGTAAGTTTGTTACGCATAATTTGTTCATTGCTTCGGGAAGGACCAAGTTATTGGTCGCTAGTCTTCAAGATTTTATATTTATTGCATCAAATTTCTTACTTGTTTTTTAAAATCTGATTAATTTGATGATGAAAATCAGAATAAATTTATCAAATGATATTATTGTTTTAGGTTTGTACGTACAACGAAACTTCTCTATATAAAATGTTTGACAGTGTATTTACCAGATATGACGAGTTAATTTTTTTTTTAAAAAAATAAAAGATAATTTCATTGTTTTATCAATTTGTTTATTAGGTTAGTTAACATATTATTTTTGATCAATATTCTATTTCAAAAAAAGAAACTCAACAATGAAAGCTTTGATTGCCTACATATCAATACAATCATCAATATAAATCACAAACTTTAACATCCCTGCAACTCATTTTATGTTTTTAGTTGTCTCAAGTCAGTTTTTGTAATTATCAGTTATATACATGTAATTCACCTATATTTTTAAAAGTGATCCCCTCTACAATATTTATTAATCACTTTATGAATTATTATATATATTCTAATTATTTTTTTAATAAATACATGATATATAATTCTTATTTTTATTTAATCTTTTAATAAATACATGATATATAATTATTTATTTTTATTCAATATTTCAATCTTGATGCTGAAAAGATAGAAACAATGAACAAATATATAAAAACTATAAAAGAACGAGAGAGGGAGAGAGGGGAAAAAAAGAACGAGAGAGAAAAAAAGAAGAACTTTAAAGAAGAAGAACTGACAATCAGGTCGATGAAAATGGATCCATTTAACTATAACAGAGCAATAACAAAGATTGTATGATTAAAAAATTCAGCAACTTTTAGACGAATAATTCGTGTTGTTTTATTAATCGTGCATATTAGATTATATTATATGTAACTTTATTAATATTGTATGTTTTAATACGTATAATTTTAATTTTTGGTGATGATAAAATTTAATGTCTAAATTAATTTAACTATATTAATTAAA